GTTGTTGTTGTTGTCGTTTTGTTCTTGTTTGTTGTTGTTGGTGTTGTTGTTGTTGTTGCTGCTGTTGTTGTTGTTGCTGCTGTTGTTGTTGTTGTTGTTGTTGTTGTTGTTTAGAGCGGTAACACGCCCGCAATGCGTGGAGTCCGCTCGCACAGCGTTCAATTGAACATAGTTGTTGATGGTGGTGCTGTGTGGTGCGGTTGTTGTTGTTGTTGCTGCTGTTGTTGTGGTTGTTGTTGCTGTTGTTGCTGTGGTTGTTGTTGTTGTTGTTGTCGGTGTTACTGCTGTTGTTGGTGTTGTTGCTGTTGTTGTTGTTGTTGTCTTTGGCGGCGGCGGCGGTGGTGGTGGTGTTGTGTTGTTGTGGTTGTCGTTGCTGTTGGTGTTGGTGTTGGCGGTGTTGGTATTGTTGTTGTTGTTGCTGTTGCTGTTGCTGTTGTTGCTGGTGTTGCTGTTGTTGCAGTTGTCGTTGTTGTTGTTGTTGTCGTTTTGTTCTTGTTTGTTGTTGTTGGTGTTGTTTGTTGTTGCATTTGTCGTTGTCGTTGTCGTTGTTGCTGTTGTTGCTGTTGTTGTTGTTGTCGTTGTTGTTGTTGCTGCTCTTGTTCTTGCTATTGTTCTTGCTATTGTTATTGTTGTTGTCGTTGTGGACTTTTGTTATTGTTTCCAGCACGTGCGTCTGCCGCCGCGTGGGGTGGAGCGATTTCGGGGCTGGGAGGTGCTAACAACTCGAGCTTTGGCACGTTGTCGCAACGACAAAAAACTTGCGTGTTTGTCTCGCCTCGGTTTTGGCGGTGTTTTCGAAAAAAGTCAATTTTCGGGATGCGCTGTGCAAAAAAAAACCGAACTGTCCGTTTTGCATCGTTCGTTTTTGTTTTTGCGATGTTTTCCCATACGTTGCGCATTTCGCATCGGTTTGTCCGGTGTTTTCGTAATATCTCCGGTCAGCACTGTGCCGACCCTCGACTTGTCGCACATGCCAGCTTGGACTTCCATGTGTGTGCTTCTCTTGTTGTGCATTGGTGGAGGGGCGGGGGGATGGGGAGGGGATGATGACGTTCATGCAAATAAGGATTGTTTGTTGTGTTTCTGTTGTTGTGCCTTCGTGGGAATGGGGGGGAATGGGCAAAAGCGTCCTGTGCTTGTTGAGTCTCCTCGCCCAAACGCCCACCGAAAAGCTAAGAACGAAAATACGGCTGCTACATGTACAGATGACGATGATTCTGATGTTGACAATACTGATGTTATGTTCCCTATTTTGGTTGTTACTGCCGAAGATAACAATGGCGATGATGATACCTACGGTGATAACATTGATAACAATGAAAATGACAATGTTGCTGCCTCTGCGTCTACTTCTTGCGTTACTTGCGAAACGCAATCATTTGCTCACTGTTGCCCTGGTTGATACCTTAATTTTGAAACGCCACCAATACAAAACAAATCGGGTTTTCTGGGCTCTCCAAACAAAAACTTCCAAACAAAACCCAAAACTCAAGCACCAGAAACAAAGAAAAACAAGGTATTTGCAACACTTCCGCAAAAATTTTGCCAAAAAAACAAGAAAAATAACTTGGAGAAAAACATGCTCAAAAACATCATCCTGTTCACGAAAACCACACACATATCAAAATTGCCAAGCTTTCGACCAAAAAACTTCAAAAACAAAAACGACACACCCCGCGCGGCGGCAGACGTACGTGCTGCCTTGTTGTTGTTGGTGGTGGTGGTGGTGATGGTCGTGGTGGTGGTGGTGGCGTCGTTGTCGTTGTTGTTGTTGACGTTGCTTTGTTGCTGTTATTGGATTTGTGGCTGTAGTTGTTGTTGTTCTGCTTCTTCGTGTGGACCAAAGGACCAGGGGACCAGGGAAGCGTGGACCAAAGGACCGGGGGACCAGAGGACCATAAGACCAGGGGCCAGAGCCAATCCTACCAAGGGCCCCAGGCAAGAGCCAACAATAGAGAAAACAAAAACAGGGCCCCTTGTGGTATGGTCTCGCGGATAGGGGACCTTCCTTGTGTTTAAGACCTCCAATGGAAATCCAAGACCCGATCCAAGAGACCGTCATCAGGCTCTGGGTCCAGTGTTGGGCCACTAGTTGGCGGTAAATCTTGGTGGGATGCGAAGCCAACCCTAAACCCTATATATCCTGACCCTAAGCAAACCTGCACCCAAACCCCAAAGCCCACACCCTAGTCAAAAGTAAACTCTTCGCAGTGCAAGCCTGCGCTCGCTTCAGGCGGCGTCTGCACTGGTAGAGAGGCTACCTGCGGGTTTAGGGGTGCCTAGGTCTGGCGTCTTGCCGTTTCGGGTTATATGCTGCGCGCAGAGGTTCCGTGCCTGTGATATAGGATAATGGATTTGCCGAATTGAATGGAGCAGGATTCGGAGCATCGTGTCACACATCCGTATCACGATTTCAAAGGATAACCATAAGAACTGTTCTAAATGTCGAGACTCTGATGCTCTCTGAGACCCAGCGACAAGAACCAAATCATAATGGTCACCGACGCGTTAGATGATTGCGAGCACCCCTCTGGCCGTGCTGCATAGCTGTGGGCTTGGGGATGAGGGTTTAGCCAGTGGAGCTGGACGAAGTTGTGGTCTTGGTTGTCCGAAAATGAAAGACTGATTCAGGATAGGTACTACGGGTGCCCGTGATGATGAAGATCCGTGCCCCAGCATAGACGTGTTCATCGCACTTTGCTTTGTTCATGTTGAGCATCATTGCCATCATCATCGTCGTCATACCGTCATAGTCACGATCATCACCCTTTCTAACCATCATGTCGAGCATCATCGCCCCCCACCATCCTTATCATCACCGGCAACATCACAACCATCTTCTACACAGTCTCTACTACCGAGACGACCATTCAGGCCTTTGACATGCACATATCCACTATGTTCATCACGGTCCCTATGCTCACCAGGAATGCGACAATCTTCAGAGCAGTCTTGTTCGGTCACATGGCAGACTAGATATGTAAGGGCATCGCGAGCATTCTCGTCATCAGGGTCAGCATCGCCATGATGCCGCTGCTACTGCCGGCGTAATTATCAAAGTCGTCGTCATCCTCATCATCAGCGTCGGACTTTAAAAGGCGACGAACGCCAACATCATCTGAAACACATCTTCGGCATGGTCCCCTTCTTGTGATCATGCAGATGCTCATGGTGATCATGTTCATTACCAGCATATACAGGTGGCAAAGCGGCAAAGTTCTGTTGTAGGAGCCACTGTGACATATTTATTCGTTTATTGCTACTACTATCAAAATCTTGGCCATCACAACACCATCAAAGGTGTCATCAGCAATTCCGTCGACATCCACCACTTCACGCCCAAAATCTTGCACACACGCACGCACACACACACACACACAGACACTCACGTCAACGAAGTTATGCGTGTATAGATACTGAGAGAACGACACGACCACCACCAGAATTACCAGGATAGGAGGAGCCACCAGGACACCACGGCGAAACGGCTTCTCCCCAGAACCAACGGGATTCAGCAGCACGGCCGCATTCCCTAAATACTGGGATTCAGGAGCACGGTGTCCGATTTCGAGGCCAAAAGGTGGCACATGTATTGGAATGTACAATGCTGTACAATGGACCTGGCTTTTTGGAAAACTTGGCTCGGCGGATCGGCGCCACAGCTGGGCGTGCGCTCCATGTGCTTACCTTAACCAATTTTCTTTGCTCTGAAACATCTTAAACGCTAGTCTTATAGTATGTACTGCCCTGTCTGAAAAATAAGCCCAAAGATCCGATGTCTGCAGAACTCAAAGCTCTACCAGACCCTACGAATTACTATCTCGAACGCCCAGAAAAAAGAGTTTAAACCAAACTGCATTACCCCTGAACTCTCAACCCTGTGGTGCGAAGAATGTTGCATGCTCAGAAACGACCCTTTGGAGTATTTCATACCCTAACACTTGAAGCCGACATCTTACGACCCTAACCATGCCTGTTCTTCTTGTCACTGTCGCTGGTGCTTTGTTAATTATGCTACCTACCTCATTCTTGCCGTGAAAAGTTTCTCAAGCCCGATTGCCGTCCCCTTCGCGTTCGCCGCAAGGAGGGAGCTGGAATTCATCCGCTCGGCTCCCACCGCAACATCGTGGGACCTTAGCTTCGGGTTCAGGTTTAGCATGCCGGAAGTTATGGGATGCACGCGCAAAGCTTTGGGGCTGTGGGTTACAATTGTGAATCGTGACGGTAGCAGCAAACAATCATACATTTCATGCTAGAGATAGCGAGTCCATGCAACGACGATGCCCATCAGGTTGTTCGACTTGGGACTTCAGACTTATTTGAACCGAACAAACGATTAGAACTTCCAGCTGGCCAAGCTTCATAGAAAACCCGCAAATGCCCATGTCAACTCACGTGAAGGACATCGCCGAGCCCTATGTCCTTCGCAGCGCAATCCTTATGCTGGTGAACTGAAAACGGCTTGGCCTCTTAGATTCCAAGCCTTCGACCAAAAACTTCCCCAAACCCGTAGCCATGATTCGATTCCGACTAAATAATGTGGTGGCTGGGGCTGACGGGTAGGATCCTTATTCTGAGGGCACCTGCTCCTCCTCACTGTTAAACAACTCTTATATAGCTGTTATACTGTTATACACTTGAGCCATGTTTCAACTGCAGGCCTGGTGGTAAGAAGAGACACTGCGATTCTCAATTTTCAATAGTTTAGGCGAAACACTGAAGCGACTACCGTTTGATCAGCTGGGGTCGCTGCCAGCGACATTTGTCCCCCCATGTGCAAGTACCTGGCTATTTTGGGTTCGGGTCGCTACTCCAGGTCCCCAGAAGTCCTGCGATCAGGAGGTTAAGGCTGGAAGTCAGAACATGAAGGCAATTCTGCTCCAATGTAAACAATTTCGTTTGACTCTGTCTGATCAGCAGTCTTCGTGGTCGTTGCAGCATCTCGCTTACGCCCGAGACAAGCTTTCCAGGGGCAGAAGCCAAACCTGTCTTACAACTTGAACACAAGCTGTTGAAACAATGAATCCCGAATTTTGCCGAGTCTGGGGTTTAGGGAACTTCAGGGTCTCCCTCACCCCTAAGCCGCTGCCAGGCACCTGCGCGGTAGTTGAAACACAGCTGATTTGGGTTCAGCTCCTTCCTCGGCTTCGTTTTCGGACCAGGGTTCAGGGCTTGGATAGGTTGGTCCCCAAACTGAACCCAAAGCCTCCGTGAATCAATCCAATGTTGTGCCTCAAGAGCTTTGCCAAACCCTGAGCCAACCAGAGACCTGGGACCTGGGTGTTATTTGGTATAGATTCCAGGCTTTGCGCCCAAGTGTGGTAAATTGGCTGGGTCTCTGATTTGTGGCTTTCAAGACTACAGGCCAGGGGCTCTGCAGCTTCAACGGTGACTCCTGGGTTTAGGACTTAGGGTCAGCCGCCAGCCTAGACCAAGCTCTGAAGCCAACTGCTGGGGCAGCGAGGGCTGCCTCGTAAACCCTACAGGCCGACTCTGAATGCCAAAACTTTTTGTACAAGTCAGCCAAAGTCAGTGATTGAGTTTGCATGGCTGCATCGGGGCGGTTGGTGCGTCGAAATTGAACAGAGGTCGGGTTCTCCAGGTCTCAGCTCGGGGCCCGAAACCCTACGGTCCAAGCGGCACTCTTCACAACTCCATAAAGCCCAACGGAAAAACGGCTGTAAACACGCAAGGCTAACGCCCTTTCATCAACTCACACAGTACAACATCGAAACTTCAATCTGACAAACCAAGCCCCAAACCGAGCTTCTGGATGTCACCCAGCTTGACCACCAGGAGACCGCTCGGATTCCGCGCTTTGGAAAGGTCCCTGGTTCAGGGTATCGGCTCTAGGATTTAGGAGGGTTAACAGTTGGGGTTCCGGGTTTGGGTTTTACCGCGTCTAGGGTTTCGGGACGTAGAGCTCAGCTCCAATTATGTTTGGGTCCGTTACTTTGGGGCTTTGTTCTCTCTATGGTTGAAAACCCCACAATGAACCCCGAACCCAGTCGGGATTTCAGATCCAGGAAGGCTCCACCCATGTTGTGCATGTTGGCTGCTACTCAATGCAACGTTTGCACATGTTGTTCAAAGTCTGGGTTGACGTCATAGAGGATCTTGTGCCTCGCAAGGCAAAGCTCTGATCATCTCTGATCGTTAATTAACGATAGTGCTGGCGTAGATCCCCAAACAGTGGGAGAGCATGATGACGACCACGACGAAGACGCCCGTCAGGACCACCGAGACCACGACAACCTCTACGACCAGGACACGACCACCACGGCCACGAGGAGACCACCAGAAAACCATGGCCACTGCAAAACCACCTGAGATCGCGGGAGACCATCCAGAAACTCCCAACAGACCAACCGTAAGAGCATCAGGCACCCATGGACCGCCAGGAGACATGCAGGAAACCACCGACCACGAGGTGACGGGGGCTCGCACGCAAGGCATTTCTCTGTACTCTTATAATCGCTTCCCCGTAATATTAAACATCCCCCCCAATATTAAAACTGCCGGCCCCCGGAAATTCGCGGCTTCGGGCCCACAATTGAAAGTTAATTGAAAACATTAGGGTCTGGCCGAGGGATTATATGATTTTTAATAGAGCCAAGACTACAGTAGTACTAAACCAAAGGACCAGAGCTTTAGGGTTTAGGGGTTTAGGGCGCAGGGCTTAAGGCAGGCTGACCGCCTGCTCTACAGCCGGAACGGCTGCATAGCAATCGGTCGTTGTGTCTGTAGAAAAACTAAACCGCGGACTTGGGTTTTTATAAAAGCGACGGGGGGGAGTTAATATTAGGGGGAGGCGATTATAATAACGTTTGAACCCCAGCGTGTGTGCAACACCATCTGGGGATTAGGCAGGTCTAATGTGATGTCCTGCCTGTTCATTTCAGCCAAGTCTTGTCGCCACTCCTATGGCAGGGCAGAGTAGCAAGCAATCAAACAAGATCGAATGCGAGCGCTTCTGCTACTGCTGCCACTACCACATGCTACTGCAACTGCAACTGCTACCGTTGCTGCGGCTACTACTACTGCTGCTGCTGCTGCTGCTGCTGCTGCTGCTGCTGCTGCTGCTGCTGCTGCTGCTTCTGCTGCTGCGTCTGCTGCTGCTGCGTCTGCTGCTGCTGCTTCTGCTGCTGCGTCTGCTGCTGCTGCGTCTGCGACTGCAACTGCTGCTTACTCTTGCTGTGGCTACTGCTGCTGCTGCTGCTGCTGCTTCTTCTGCCGCTGCTGCTGCTGCAGCTATACTGCTACCTCTACTAAAAGTACAGTTGGCGTGCCCATGTTGTTGTCTGACAGCTTCGACATCCAGAATCCTGATCTCTAAACTACTCAGGCTTGACTCCTGACGCGAACCTCAACCCTCAGCATAAAAAGCCGCTGGCTGGAACGCCGCATATATATATATTTATAATGTTATATATTATATATATACTATATTTTATATACATATATATATTTATATATATATATATATACATACTGTCAACTCGACCACATATAGGTCTAACTTTGGAGTTGGATGTCATTGGACAAGAGAACAGCTGTTCGGCTCCGGGCCGAGGGTTCTAGGACTTTAGGGTTTCTGGCACCCGAGGTGGGCTGCGCCTGCCTGCGGAGGTGAGCCTTTGAGTGTTGGTATAGTGGCCTCGAAGAACTGGCACTTTTGGACGGAAACACTTCTCGAGTTCGGACGGAAAGACTGAAACTACCGATGCCCGAAACCCAAAATATCGTCAATATGACATCCCTGCACCTCACCTGTAGTTCGTCGTCTTACACTTTGGAGGAGCAGCCTCTCGAATTTGTTATAATAGCAAGATCCTGATAACACAAAGATCTCGAACTTGCAACAGCACAAAAATGCTGTTGCGCAAGCGCGTCGGGCAGTCCGGATCACCACGCTTTCGCAGGGTGTCCATGACCTTTGTCTGCAAGCCTCGGTAAAGAGCGAAAGTTTCCTCGAACATACATGCTTGATTAAGGTTGAGGCTTGACGGCTTGGGGTTGAAAACGTGGCAGGAACTTCTGGTCCTGGCTAATCACGCCAGCACACACTTCAGGGCGAAGAAGAACGCCTACCAGAACATTGGCTGACTCGTCACCAGTGATTCTCACCTTGCTGTAATGGACATTGAATGATGCCCTGACAAACCTGAGTGCAAAGCCAGCTCGCAGCAAGTCATACTTCTCTAAGGTTTTCAGAGCTGCATGAGAACAGTCTTCGGTTGTCCGGTATCCGGGCTATACCCCTCGAAGCTGTGTCATGCATATGATGACTGCAGCAGCCCAGGTGCGCTCTGTCAGTGCGAAGCGTGTGCAGAAGGCCTGTGCGCGACTGCTTTCGGCTCGCTCTAAAGCTTTTTGGTACTGGGCTTGTAGGGTTCTTTGTGAAAACCTTGGCCCAATGTCGAGAACTCACAAAGCTAATGTAAAGACTGCTCAAGTTGCTCTAGTGCTCTATCACAGCTACAGACTTTAGTTGCAGATCTGGAAAGCCCCCGACCCAATCGAGTAGACCCGAGCACAAACCTGAACCGAGCCTGAGAAAACAAAGCCCCTGCTGTTGTTGCCTTCCAGTTCCACTGTGCATGTTCTGGGAGGACCGGCCAAGAGATTTGAGAAGGCGCGGAAAAAACAAGTCTTCAACGGTGAGAAGCCCAGACGGACAGCTGCAGCCTTTCGTCCTGAATCCACCCAAACAACTTAAGGCCTCAGGGTTTACATCTGCAGGTACCTGTTGTGAAGACAGACCCGTTCACGTTCTGGCCCGATCTCAGCAATTCGTCCGTTGAGGTTAACTATTGCATCTATGTTGTTGGCTGAGAAGCCTTTCAGGGGGTCGGCCCAACGGCATGGATGCATGAGAGAATCATATGACAAGCCGTCAACATAGCAATGCCAGACTGACCTGGGCGCCTAGCGTTACATCATGAACCCACGCCAGCATGAGGAAGCTCCCAATAGAACAGCGGCGACCGGAGACTCTGCGCAGGTGGCGACTCATGATCAGAACAGGACGAGCTCAGCAATAAGAGCAATCGTCACTGCCTTGTTTGTAGAAAGTGACTTTCTATATCTTTCTTCATTATACATATGCCCCTCAATGACGAAAGCCTGGTTCTCAAAACCAGAAGAGCACGCTGCCATACTGATTTAATTCCAGTTCACACATATTCAAACACTGTAATCTTCATAGCGACTGAACGATCAGCACGGCCCATCCGAAGGAAATGCCCCGGCCAGAAAGTCACCCGGCGGGGACGAGCAAAGCCTCAAGGCCCGGCGGAACAAACAAGTCCCGAATCTGTCGGCATTCCCCTGACACACACACACACACACAGCTTCGCAAACAAGGCCTTGACTTCTGGAAGGAGGTCGCCAGTGGGCAAGATCAGGGCCTTGCCCTGCAGCAGCATAGTCGGTCTCTTTTGCAATCCTGGACCTAAGGCCTAAGGCTGTCACATGATCACATCACCGACACAGCCATTGTTGTGGTTGAAGAACAGGCGAACTAGTGGTAGCCAAGGTGGTATCCGTGGTAGCCACTTGCTGGAGCAGGAGGGCTAGCGGCCAGGAGCAGAGGAATGAGAAGAAGAGTAAAAAAGCCCAGACGGCATTTGTCACGAGCGCCAGCAGGGTGGAGGGCAAAAGCAGAACTCAAAACATGCTCTAACAGGGCAGGTCAAGCACGGGCACGAACTGTTTCAGAAGTTCACCGACAGACCCTGGCCTCGCAAGAATGAGACGTCGACTCTGGATGAGGCTTCCCTCGGGTTTACACTTCAGCTTTGTCGTTTCAGAAAGCTTATACTCCGAATTCAACCTAGAACCCGAACTTCCGACATGCTCGAGCCGCCTAGGGGGAAACTGCACTTGAACACCTTTGAACCAGATGTGCCGACCCGTAAGGTAGGGGTATCCCTCCGGCTGCCCAGGCCACCGTCAGCAATTCCATGATGGCAATGACGGCCCAGAATTAACTCCAAACCTTCAGCCCCAAAGACGCTAAACACGTACGTAACCCAGAACCTCAAACTCCTTCGAACCATCGGCGCCTTCCCCTTGCCTTTGGGATCGTTGCTGAACGCATCGGGCATGTCTTCGGGGGGCGGGCCGCCATTGATAGCTTCCTTTCCGTCAGAAGCAGAGAAGAGAACAACGACGGAATTTCAGGGTGAAGTTCTTCCCCGCACTAAAAAAATAAGGAAGAATTGCAAGGCAAGCAACTTACAGCACAATTACACCGACCTGCATATCTATAAACATATCTCTAGCCCTATCTACCTAGATTCGACCTAGGGCTGCCAATATGCGCACCGCGAAGCCCGCGATTTTCAGAAGCCAAGTTTCACCTCATCCCGAAAAAAGAAACGGGCCCTAAGTGCAGTGCTTCATGCGAACGAGGACAAGAACTCAGGATGTCGGAGTTCCACAGCAAAGAAGATACATAATTCGGCCTCTTTCAGGCCCTGACGATCTGGTCGCCAAGCCATCCCCAGCCCTGACCTCAAGCCTATACGCCTAGAATTCACACGTCACAAACTCGTGGTTGAATGGATGCCTTGCAAGAGCCCTATTCATGCTAGGCAGGCCCCAGGACCCCTCCACCTGCTCGACCTGATAGGCGACCAGGGCCGCAGCATTCAATGACTTCGCCTGCAACACCGTCATAGTGGCGGCGCCATTGTGGTTGGAGTGCCGAATGGACTCAAGTTCTCAGATGATGGGTACCCAAACCCAGGACAGGGGTTTAAGCTGCCCCGTGGTTTAGGGATACCATGCGATGACGGAGATGCTGGAAACTTCGACTTCCGACTCTTAGGTTCGATAAACACTAGACCCTACGAATGTCCGATTGAAACAGTGAAATAGGGCTGCCTGTTCATAGTTCTTGACATATGAGCCAACGCACAGGGGTCTCAATGGTCAGAGCCGGCATTTGGGCTTCATCCTACAGCGGAAGTAAATCTTTCGTTCTACTTGTTCTTACCCGGTTCTGCGCTGGCAGCTTTAAACAAAAAATAGTGGGGTTTTTGGGGTGCAAACTATACTCTAACACCATACAAGCGCTGTAGAGAAATAAGTGTGACTCTCTGACAGACTGTCGGCACTGCTTGACTTTCATGCGCTCCAGGTCCAGATGCCATGAAAGTCTATGCGCTTCAGGGTTTTGTAGTTGTGACTGGCTGAGCTCTGGGATCTCGTGCTTTGTAAGACATGAGAATGTAGGGAAACCGAGCTTCTTGGAAAATTCAGTAGACATCGATATTTCAAAAGAGCTGTGCAGTGCAGGAGAACGAAGCATGTCGAGGCCGAGGCTGCTCTATTAGGTTGTCCTCATTACTGTGCTTCTGGGGGTCCACATGCTGTCCCGGGTCAAGGATCGATACCGGTGAAGACTGGGCTGAGGACTCCAACCCTGGAGCTCTCAACTAAACCCTCCTGATACTGTGATCACCGACTTCTTTGAAGGTGTTGGGATTTGTTCGAAACGAGGGACATCGGTTCGAGTTGGACTTTGTGGGGTTCGTTCTACAAAATATGAGGAATCCCAGAAGACTCTGAGCTCAACGCCCACTGAGCCCAAACATACTTTCAACATCACTCTTGTTCTGTCACAGGCCTCCACCGCAGTCTCGGTGCCAACAGCTCGGGCGAACTTGTTCTCCTGACAGATTGGGGCAGGATACCCACGACTTTGGGTTTGTGGGCATGAGGAGTTCAGACTGCAGTACTACAGGGCTCGGATTAGCTTTGAGGGTTTGATTCTTCGGACCGCGGGCTGAGGATGCAGGTCCTGGTGTCAAGAGAAAGAGGCTCTAATGCTAATGATTTGTCTCAGGGTTTTATGGCATGCGCTGCTGTGGGTGTTTAGCTCTACACCTCCCAGACTTCTCGAATTTCACCCTGGTGCCCTAACTGTAACTATTGCTGGCAATGTATCAGGCTTGGTGAAAAATGTGCTCAGGCTTGCGGCTGTGGGGCTGACGTTCCCTACACCAGGCACTGAAGACCAAGCCTGAAGCCCTGCACTCCAAATCTTCAGTTCCCAATGCTTGGGCAATGAGCGCAACTTTCACGTTCGCAAGAGCTCGTACTGGGAGCTCTGAATTCCCGTCCCCGGACCCGAAAAAGATCCGAATCCCCGGCGTGTGGGTCCGAAACCCGTGGCAGGCGAACTCCACAAAAATGTCGAACCTTCAAAGACAGTACAACCCAAAACCAACATGTACCCTCCCTGTTCGGGCCAGATGAAGCCTGAGCCCTAAACACTCCGAAAATTGATAGCAGAGTATTGGACATGACTATGATCCGATTCAGTGGCTTGCAAGTCAGGTCGAAGCCCGGCAGGAAGCCTTGACGTGACTATACTTACACCTCAGTTGGGACCAAACCAGAAGCAAATAAGTCTCATAGTTGGAACGTTGAACAATCTCACCTTGCACGCCGGGCACATGCAGCCAGGCAAATGGCCCTGCTTGGCCTTCAAGAACCGTTTGACAAGCTTTCGGGCGCAGGGCTCTGGTTTACTGTTGTGCCTTTCTGTTTTGGCACTCGCGGAAATAAGAGTTTGTAAGGATTGGGCTGTCACATTTGTCTCAGAATGATGTTCAATACTACTCAGAAGCAGGAAACCTTACCTGGTGGGCTCATAGTGTTTCTTCATGGGTAACTACCACTGGTGCGGTACCTTGGGCACGGCTCGTTGCCGGACATCATGCTCTAGGTATTATGAATAACGATATCGATATAGACATGATATAGGTATAGATACAGAAATAAGTAAAGTTAAAGATATAGATACAGATAATGGTATAAATATAGATATCGGCTATAGGGCATAGGACATAGGAGATAAAGCTACCGAACCACACACACATACATGTACATATAGATATACATATACATATATAAAATATACATATACATATGTGTACGTGCACACACATACAAATACAAATGCATATATATATATGTAGATATGGTTGTGTAGATATGCAGCTGCAAATGTACATACATCTATACACATACGTACGTAGGCACGTACACACACGTACATACATACATACATGCATGCATGCATACATACATACATACATGCAGACATACATGAAGTCATACATACATACATACATACATACATACATACATACATACATACATACATACACACACATATTGTGTATATATGTATACGCACATATACATATATATATATATATGTATACGCACATATAGAAATACATGTGTATATATATATATATATGATATATATATATATATACGGATAGGTGTATGTACATATATACATATACACACACACACATATATATATATATCATACACACATGTACGTGTGTGTGTGTGCGCGCCTCTGTATCTCTTTCTCCTTCCTGCTCTTTGCTTTGCTTTGCTCGGGGTAAGAATCAGGGGTCGCGTCCCCATCCATCCTGTTGACAGAGGGGTGTGCCTGTACGTTTGTTGGGGAAGGGTCGACCGCCACGCGTGGTGAGAAAGCCACCGTGGGGCAGGTTTTTGGGGTGCCCCTCACAGGTGTGACTGGAGGCCCCCGTGTCAGTACAGGACAACACACGCCTAAAACCAGGTGCAACAACATACATGGTCATCGGCGGGTGCCCCCTAGTTTCCATCCTATGTCACCCCCACCTCTGTCTCCCTCTCTCTCTGTCAGGGTGAATGGCTGGCCTAGGTAAGATAGGGGATTAAATGCACTACAACAGGGTTTGGTGGCGAAGCGTACTGAAGACATCTGAAGACCTGTGCTGCTGCTTGACGGAAATGATCATAACTTAGAGGCCCCTCCCTCACTCGCGTTGAAGCTGGCTCCAAATGAGCAGCGACGACCCCAGCTGGAAAACTTGGTGGTTTGGAGTTCGGGGTGTAGGGGTTGCAATGTTGAAGCCTTGGTTCTGCGGCCCAACTTGAACCCTACTCTGTTGATCTTAATCCGCGAACATTGAATCCACGGGCACTACACCTCGGCCGCTGCCCTTGATCTGAAAAAGACAACTTGTGGCAGCGACTTCATATCTTGACGCTGAAACCTTGACCTTTGTGGGGAGTTCTTCTGTGTTAATTAGTTCGCAATGCCGGTCTCAACCAAAAGCACTTCAAGGGGTCACAATGTTGAGCAAACCCAAACTCCTGCAATGCACGCCTTCACCTGAAAGCCACGTATGGCTTCCAGCTCGCGCAGTCGCGCCTGACAGGGGAACTCCGAAGCTTCTGGAGCCTTCACAGGCTGTTAACGAAGTCTTCCGGCTTTGTTCAGCAATGTCTTGCTATACAGGTTTAACATTCAAAGCAGTGCTTGTGGGGACTCGGGGGGTTTCAGTCGGATTTGAGGTGTTCAACTAGTGCTCTAACTGGAGAGCAAGAAGCAGGGCCAAAGAGCCCCATCGCTTGGCAGCTTACGTTTGCTACAGGCATTCCGAGATACCTGAGGCCAGTGAACGCAAAGGATACAGGACGGTGAAGCGGCATCATCACAAGGTTTTGTGAACTGAATTTCAGACTCCTGCCTGGACAAAGCTGGGTTGATGCCAAGCGATTCATGGGTCCAACGCCAGAAACCCCAAACTCTAAATTAGTTCAGGTTCCCGGCTCAGCCCAGATTGATTGCAGATTTCAGGCTTTCGGCGCCAGGTTGCGAACAAGATGTTATATTATGTTACTGTCGATGCAAAATGCTGATTCCTCAGGGCAGTGGCGCGAACGACGACAATGGTACGAGCAGAAATTAGAAGCGAGGTGGGTAGTTAGCCATGAGGAAGCTCATATGTTGGCATGCGAGACATTTCATTTGAAAGCCGTCCGCAACTCTCACAGGTGTCTTCTTGAAGACCTTTGCGGAATCTAAAGAATCTAAGCACGAGAAGTTCATGTGAGTTCCTCAAATATTACACAAGTCCTCTTCAGTTTTCCATGTGGACATGAATCCAAAACTCCAGACCAAACGTACCATGG